TCTTCCGAAAATTGTAACTGGACTAATTTTATTGGTTTTAAGAGTAATAAACTATTTCTATGTTGAATGTTTCTCCTCCTCTCCCCTAATTAAAGTTTTAAAGTGAAATTTCTGACTGGGTGCTCAAACATACTAGTAAAACAAGTAAAACTGCCAAGAGTCAAACCTCAAAGAAAACAGGAAAAAAAGCCCACACCCACACAAGGGTTATAGGCTTAGAAAGATTTAATTTCACAAAACTGTTGCATAGTTCTCATATAAAGAATTAAGCGGAGAATAAATCAAGTATTAGTTAGGATTTGTATGGGAATTTTAACATTAAAATCTCTCATGTTTTAGCAGCACATATGTTCACAGTGCATTTACTAAATGGTCAAAGCAAAACTTAATTTAAGTACAAAATACATACAATTACTTCTCATGATTTTGTTCTGTTTCTACATTAGGTCACCATCTTGTCCTCAAAAAGCACCATATTTTTCATGACAGCTGGTAATTGTGCATTAACTTAAATTTCCCACCTTCACTATTGTTGCTCCAATCTTTCAGGAAGGAACAGGAGGCAATCTTGTGCCCGGCTTGCAGTCGTGCCCACATAGCAGGCTCAGCCAGCTGATCTGAATACCAGTCACATAAGCTGAGCTCAAAACTGGAAGTCTGCAGTGCTAAAAGACAAACAATGGCTTAATTTCTTAAGAAGTCATTATTTATGAGACTATTTTCCATTACAAACTTACGTTTATTAAACTAATTGACAGCAATTCTGCCTCTTGGTTACTTCAAAACCATTACTGAGTGTTGTGTAGGATTTCAGGCTGCCACCATTAATGATACTACTTTAAAAAAAATAAATCATTCCTTTAAGAAGGGTGCTTCTTTCAGAGCAATGGAGTGCTATTTATGTTCGCCAGTCATTGCAACCTTCATGAATTCACTTCCATGGAGACAGTTGCCAGGAAACATAAAAATTACATGTCATAACAAGAAATACCTGTTTACTTTTCTAGATGACAGCTACAGAAAAATTACTTCTGAGAGGTTAAACTCAACACCATTTGCATAATATTTGCAACAGAATGCTTCTTTCTAGAACCAAAAATTTCTGAATACATCACCAGATATTTTCAAAAACTTTTTAAGGGCAAATCATACATGTCTAATCTAGTGGCTTTCTACAATGGAGTGACTGCATCAGTGGACAAAGGAAGATATGTGGATTTCATCTACTTGAACTTCTAGGTGGTCTCTGATGTAGTCTCCCTCAACATTCTTACTTCCAATTGGAGAGATATGGATTTGACAGATAGACTGTGAGATAGATAAGGAATTGGATGGATGTTCGTCCAATGGTCTGAACTGTTACAGCCAATGGCTGAACATCCATTTGGAAACCCATAGTGAGCGGTATTCCTCAAGGGTCCGGATGGGGACCAATACTATTAATTATCTTCATTATGACATAGATAGTGGGATTGAGTGCACCCTCAGGAATTTTGCAGATGACACCAAGCTGAGTGGTGCAGTTGATATTCTAGAGGGAAGGGATGGCATCCAAAGGGACCCTGACAGGCTTCACTACTAGGCCCATATAAATTTCATGAAGGTCAGCAAGGCCAAGTTCAAAATCTTGTACCTTGGTCAAGGAAATGCCATTATCAGTGCAGACTGAGGTATTAATTGATCGAGAACAGCCCTGCAGAGAAAGACTTGGGGATGGTGAATAAAAAATTGGATGTGTGTCAGTAAGTTGCACTTGAAGCCCAAAAAGCCAATCACATCCTTGGCTGCATTAAAAGCATAGTCAACAGGTTCTTCACCTCTACTCTGCTCTCATGACACCCCACTTGGCATACTACATCCAGCTCTGAGTAACATAAGAAAAGACATGGACCTATTAGAGCGCATCAGAGGAGAGCCACAAAAATTAGAGGCTGGAGCACCTCCCTTTGAAGAAAAGCTGAAGGAGTTGGGGCTGTTCAGCCTGGAGAAGGCTCCAGGGAGGTGTTGTGGCTTTTCAATACTTAAGGGGAGCCTATAAGAAAGATGGAGAGAGACTTTTTATTAAGGTTCATAGTGACAGGACAATGGGCAATGGTTTTAAACTGAAAGAGGATAGATTTAGATTGCATATGAAGGATTTTTTTTACTGAGAGAGTGGTGAAGCACTGGCACAGGTTGCCCAGAGAAGTTCTGGGTGCCCCATCCCTAGAAGTGCTTGAGCTCAGGTTAGATGAGGCTTTTAGCAACCTAGTGGTCCAGTGGAAGACGTCCTTGCCCACGGCAGGGGAACTGGACTGAGTGATATTTAAGGTCATATCCAACCCAAAAAATTCTGTGATTCTATGATTCTATAAAGTTTGAGATGCCAGGTTGTAGCTGCAAAATCTAATGTAATTAATAATGGCTACAGAACAAAAGTCACAATTTTAAGCAGGATTGCTCTATGATAATGGAAATTGCATTTCTTAATAATATTGCAGGGAAAAGGCAATCATCTGGTTAAAAAAATTTCACTGATGGTATCTCAGAGAAAACATGGAGATTCCCAATTGCACAGATAAAACAATTTTATGCACAGACATCACTGCTTACTGCATCTCAGAGTTACTGTGTTATTCACATTACTGGCATATCAGTGAAATGTCCTGTCCAGTTGATGTTACAAACCTCCCCTTTCTTCCTTGCTCCAGTTTTGCATGAACATGCACACTTTTTGCAAACTATGTGTATTAAGTGAGAAGAGCTCGTGAAAAACTTATTTCCCATTGAAAATGAAAAATTCTAAGATGGTCTAGAAAAGGGCAAATTCTGTCAACATTTGAAAATGCAAATACACTCAGAAGAAATCAAACTCTTCAAGTGCTTTTTAATTATTGAAACGAAGCATTTTGGTTCATCCTGGGGGTTTTTTTGGTTGTTTCTTTATTTTGTTTTAATATAGTTGTAAATATTTCTGAGGTTGTTTGTCTGTTTTTTCAATAATCTCAGCCTCTTGGGACAAAATTCCCATTTTCCAGATCTTAATTCTGCAGTATGTCAGACAAGAGTCAGAGCACTATTTTGTCTCTGCACCTGTAATAAAGGCTATGTCTTTGCATGACTACAATTAACTACGGAATTATGTTTGAGATTTTTTTTCAGTTGAAGTATTCATACTGGATTTTTGTCAAAATTTACACATTGCAAGTAATTCATATATAATTACTCCTGTTTTCAAGAGGGGAAAAAAAAAAAAAAAAAAAGAAAAGCTTTGTAGAGAAGGTATACCACTTTTTCATTACAAGTGACTTAAGGAGGACAAAAACCACATTCTCCTTGCTAGCATTCCACTTTCATGCCTTGGGGATCTTTGCTTTCACCCTTATGGCAAGATCAGAATGACAATCAATGAGGTTCTTCACATATATAATTCATCAGGAGTCAAGATGGAGTTCTGCAGGTCAATCAGACCCTTGAATAAGACTAGCAAGCCTTTGAATAGGTCTACTAAAAGTATAATTAAAGGATATTTTGTGTTACATGTGATTTAGAGCATAACTTTAATATTTTCTATTTGACATCTACCGTATCTTTTTCTTATTTAATAAAAAGCTGTGGTGGTTTTGAGTGATAAATGAAACAATTTGACAGCTGTTGGGAAAATTAAAAACTGTAGAGTATCTTAAATTGCTATACTGAAGGTAGGGTTTTATTTTGCTGGGGAGTTTTTAAATGTATAAACTTTACTGTCCAGCAGAACTGGACAGGACACTGAAGGGTGGCAGTTTGGGAGACAAGGAAGGGAGAGATAGGAAGAAAAAAACTTAAAACTTAATGAAATTACAGTTATAGTTAGCCACCACTGTTTGTATCAAGAAACTCCTGAAAGCAAAAATACTTAAGCAGTTTTATTCATGACCCTAAATGCAGTCATACTAACGAATACAAATGCACAGGTCATTTTTTACATGCATACACTGGCTAAATGAAGGGTATATTAAAAATGCAAATTTTAACTACAAATTTCATGCAATTAAAGTGGTCTTCATTTAAAGTCTTCTTATATATACATTCCATAAGGACTAGAGAAAAAAGATTTCAAATTCAAACAACCATTAAGCTGACCTTTTGCTTTAATTATTGGAAAAAATTCAGTGAAACTCCTCTTTCAGGCATAAAATTAAGATCCTTTGACCCTGTTTTTGTTGCTATGAGCAATTTAAATGCCCCCTAATGAAGCTGACTTTTCCCAATAGGGAGGCACAGCATAAGAACTGGCTCTTATTGGAATATACCTGAGGTACTTAATCATAGAATGGTTTGAGTTGGAAGGAACCATCCCCAAGACTGGGGGATCCAAAACTTCTCTGGGAAACCTGTTTCAGTGCCTCATCACCCTCACAGCAAAGAGCTTCTTCCTACAGTGCAGCAGCTCAATCTGTATGCCATATTACAGTAGCTCAACAGCTGCCATGTATGAGAAGTTTAACACCTAGATTTATAAGTTCTGGTAAGTACACCCTGTTTCTGTTTCAATATTCCCCCCTTCCCCTTTTTTTTACCTTCCAGCTCTTTCAGCTTTATAACTGATTTCCACCACCACCACCCCCACCCCTGCCCCATTTTTTGTTTGCTTTAGAAGCGCTTTGTTTATGAGAAAAATCCTATATATTTGTACAGATGGATTTCTATCCTCCTGCAGGAACTGCTTAGGCAATTATACAGGTTGCTGAAATCTAGCAATGCTTTTATTTTCCATTTTAAACTTGCCCTTTTATCTGCAGAAATCCTCCAAGGAACAGAACGAAGTTGGGAGATTCAAATCTCTGTCCTCTTTTGTCAGCTTCAAATTCATCTTTTTCAAAGAAGGCGTATTGTAAACTTACACTTGTTCACAGACAAGTATGCTCAAAGTTTTAAATTAGCATCCTTGCTCATTTAAGTAGTACTGCTAGAGAACCTCTCCAAAGTAGAAAAGCGAGATAGGCGCCATCATGAAAATAGTTATAAAACATTTGCTTCTATATTTCTTTGAAATAAGTACATATGCCTACCTGAATCATTATGCTGGAGTTTGGTCTGTGATCTGTCTACAACATTAAGTTCAGCACTCTTACATGTTAAAAACCATGTGCATCTATTACCAATAGTTTTTCCTACTGGAGAACCTAGAAAGCTTATTTTAGATCACAGTACACAAAAATAAATCATGTAACCTAGCTTGGTCTGTGTCAAACACTGCATTCCATACTTCAGGTTAAATTTAAGACTGAACCCACAGTGCCTGTGCTAAGACTTCAAAGCAGGAAAACCAAAGAGTTGCTTTAAATCAGGACCTGAGGATGTGATGTGGGTGCCACAGTGCAATCTCCTTGTGTAATACAGAGCAGCAAGCAATCTAATTTATGCTAGGATAGGTAGCACTCCTTTCCCATTAAAACACATTGGGTTGAAAAGAGAAATAGGAAATGTTTTACTAGAGAACCCCTATATGCAGAGATGGTCTGGCTCCAGAGCTGACTAGTCAGACATTGCAGGTCTTGGATATAGCAGAGCAGAATAAAATAGCCCCACTACATGGCTAAATATCAGGGTTTTCACACATTTAGAAAAATACGCACAAGTTCTTTGGGGATCTCCCTAAAGTCAGTTCCATAGCTTCTCCTGAGCTGGCTGAACATAATTTGGACAAAGCCAGCAGATCTTTTTTGCCCACTTAGGCCTTGGTGCTCTCCTGGCTGCAAGAAGCTACATTTATACTGTACCATATTTCTTAAGGCATTTATAGTCATTCTCTGTGTTTAAATGTGATAAGATTAATGATGGTTTAGGGGAATGAAAATGAGTCAGGTAAAAACAGAGTTAATAAAATCTTTGACTGCCAAAAGGTTTTTCTTTGTATTTTCTAATCCAAGTGAAAGACAAAGTAAAATGATCTGAATCTTGAAAAACAGATGTTCTTACCACACTCCAGAGAACAGCCTTCACTGAAAGCGATATCATCAATGGCAACAGTTTCATCTTGTTCCTTGGCCTCCACCATCCCCCAAAAGAAAACCTGCAGAGATGAACAGCAAATCAACAAGAAATGGTATTCATCAGTGTCACAGAAGAAACAAAACCTCCCAAGCTATGCCAGTCTAGTCCATATTTTCTGTTAGAAATATGAGAACTCAAATCAGTCAGCAATTTTGTAGGATTACCATCCTAGCTTGTCAGCACAGATCTATAGTCTAATCATCCAACTTGAGTGAAATAGCATTTAACAGGAAATATCTGAAATCCACAATAATGAATTAAAATCAAAGCAAAAATCACTACAGTTAAGAAATACAAAGGATTTTGTGTTTTATCAAGCCATTATTCCACCAGAGACTGGAAATATGAATTTTCTCAGGTGGTTTGCAGAATTGATCAGAGACCTGAACAAGTTAGAGCAGCAAGCACCATTAGTCAGAAGCTTTTAAAAAAGTTTTTAGCCAAAACATACCTTGAGGAGTATTTGGTCAACTGTTATTCTTCTCTAATGTTACAACAGCTTTCCCCCTGCTCCCCCCCAATTCCCCCAACAAAGTCTTCTAAAGTCACAAATATTTTATATTTCTATCTGGAGGGCAGATTTCCATCTATATTTGTGAATGCAGAAAGTACCACAGTTTTTCTGCACTGGTGGTGAAAGAGACTGGTCAACCACAGTTTTCCAAAACCCAGCCAAATCAGACATACTGAGCTTGCCATGTGTTGAGTAATTAAAGCAGCGGTAATCTTTGCATTTCAAAATTCCCTACTTGTGGAAATTTTTGAAAGCCAAAACTAAATCCCCTATCCCATGGAGATAATCAAACACTTTTTTTTTTTTTTTTTACTTAAGTAGGAAGAGACAAAGGTATTAAATAGGCACCATCAAAATCAGCAAAGAAAATAAGCAGCAGAAGTTGATTTTAATTAAAAATCTCCCTTCAACTGTGCTTGCAAAATTGACAAAAGTATTCAAAGCACCCTATTTCAAAGGAATGTCTACACCTGACAAACCTTATTTTTTCCTATTCATTTTCGTCCATATAAACATTAATCATCAAAATGTTATCTTGAAAAATGCCACAGGCAGCCCTGTGGGCTAAAGAATCTTGTCATATTAAAAGAACAAGTGCAAAGGGCAAGTGAAATGTATTCACTTTTATGACCAACATCTTGCAAATTGTCCCTGAAGGAAAAATAAGCAGCCAAAGAAGAAAGTCTGCTTGGCTTTAGGCTCTTGGTTTGGGGAGGTGCCCAGCCACATTTCTTTAACCAATTCTAATTATTACTGCAGTGAGTTTGACACGTGCTTCTTTAAAGCTATATTGTACCTATCAGTTCACTTTATAGACGCCAAAGGATAACAAGGTTTGCAAACAATAATCTAATTAGAATTTGATCCAGCAATTTAGTGGAAGGCAATACCATATTATATTAACCATTCCCAGACTCACTCAATTTTCTAAACAACATGAAGGATGAAAAAGTAGATCTAGAAGTAAACCATTCCAGTACAATCTCGGATTGCTATACATACATTCATATCGGGTAGAAGTAAGTTATTGACAAGTAATGACATCGATACTTGTATTGATTTAGGTACGGGTATTTCATGACAAACACTCTCAGTCAAGTTTGAACAGGCAAATATTACTTCAAAAATCCAGATGTTGTTGGATGCTTTGACACAATGTTACCTCTGCAAGTCAAGTATTTAGGTTACTCACATGTTTATTGAATGAGGTTGTGCTCTCATGCCTTCAGGTTTGTGCGCTAACTTTTCACAATAACTTCTATAGGAGCAAATGCCTCTGATTTTCTTCTCTCCTCCCCACTTTCCCTCCAGTGTTATGCTTAATAGTGAGTATACATCATCCACAATATTATAGCCCTAAGTTATATTTATTATGCTAATGTTTTATGTAAAGGCACATGTAAAAACATTTAAGTAGACTATGACACTTGCATGTTTTTCCAGCAGCTTTAAGCAAAATAAAACCATAAGCATGTGTTCCCTGACCAAGGTTCAAAGCTACAATGAATAGATAAAGTGCAGCATTTGTCACCTGAAGCATCCCTATAGAACAGTATCTCACTGTATAGAATGGTATTTCCTATCTAACTTAACCTTGAGTTTATTAGTACAGTTAGATTGCATATAAGGGAATACTGTATTGAAAGTAAGGACCCTGAGTACATCACCTCTATTGACAAGTAGATAATTTATGGTGCAGTGAGGTGAGTTGTTTTATTTAATATGCATGCACAGTTTAAGTAAGGTTTGGTATTAGTTTTACCACCACCAAGAGAAAAGAAGCAGCAGTACTTGTTAATGTCAACTATGAACTTCCAAATGGCTTCTCTCCCTTTTACCTCAAGATAATGCTCTCCATTTACAAAATAGTTATGTTTGAGTTATTAAAAACCCCACAATTTATATACCATCTAACAATTGCAATTTACAGTGACCTCAATTTACCAACCTCATACTTTTCAGTGCTACTGATTATGATGGTATTTGCTTTCCACTGATTTTGCAGTTCTCCTGAAACTTGCCAGATACTTGTAATAGTATCTTCAGAGTGCTTTCGAAGCCCCACCATCAATGTTCCATTCATTTCACTGATCCAATAATGAAATGTAATCTAGGACAAAAAAGGTCCGATTATTCCAGGGAAGTACTGTGACAAACAATGAAATAAAAAGACTATGCATTGAAATACCTGGCACAAATGTTCTTCATTAGTTGGAAGGAAAACATTGGTCCTTAAAGTTGCAGAAGAGGATCGCGTTTCAGAGGACAGCGAGAGGAAATAAGCTATTAAAAGGAATAAAAAAAGAAATCTTAGAAGTCTAGAGAAAAGTTATGTGGAATAATACAGTAAAACAAGTGGCTTACATACACATATGAATTAATAACTAAAAAGCCAGTTAGTTTTTCCCAAAAAAAGGTTCATATGACACTTGTAGCCATTTGTGTACCAAGTTTTTGTTCATTTTAAATATTAAGATAGTATTGTTCCACATTTCTGATGAAATGTCAAGTAGGGTTCCAAAACTTTTCGTGTGCTGATGGCTTGACTACTCAATAAGTACAAAATTTTGTGACAAAGACTAACTCAGGAAGCTGATCAAAGGACTTACATTGCAATTACTGAATGGACCACATATTTCATGCCCAGACAACAAACTGTTGTGACAAACAATATAGATTTATTATAACTGTTCAAGTCTCTAGGGAAGTGGTGGAAGATGGGAAAGGAGGCTATGGCGTTATGGTGTTCTGTCCCACAGGAGATGGATCTGGTTTTTGGCTGTTCAGAAAATTGCCTCACTAAAGAGAAGAGGTTGTGACATCCCTGCATACACTTCAAATATAAAGAATTGTCTCCAGAATCTCCTCACAACCATTTAAGATCCATTATCTTTCCATTTACAAAAACAATTCCAAATTAAAGCTTTGCCTTACTTGGAAATGTAACAGCTGAACAAATTAGTGAAATATGCTTGTTACTATGCGTTTTGACTGATTGTGTCTCTTCCTGATAACATTGTTTCAGATCTTCTGAAAGATAGATGGCAACCACCCTATTTTAAGATATCTATATTTTAAGGTATAGAATATTTTAGGATTTCAAATGTTGCTAGTCAAAATTTTTCTCTTCCTGAACATGAAGATTTTGGAGATGTTAGATGTTAAAGGATGCAAGGGGGGAAATAAGATAAATCATAAACAAAGGCTTAACCTGGGGTTTTGTGTTTTCTTGATTTTTTTCTTTTTTTTTTTAAACTGGTGCCTTCTGACATGACATGATTATGTAAGTGAAAGCAGAAAAATGAAAGAGAAAAAAAAGTTAAGTTGGGCTGAAGGAATAATAATAGTAATAATAAAGTCCTAAAAGTAAAGATTACTACAGAAACCAAGTATCAGAGGACATGTAAGAACGTCTGAATACTTCATTTATAAAACTGCCCACCCTGACCTCTCATCCTTGCATACAACTGGGAAGTCACTGACAAAGGACCATAAAACTAGTTCACTGCTGGACCCCGTTGAGCCATCTCCCACAGAAGAGCATTCTGCAGCCTGCTACCAGAGCAGCAATCATGCTTCTACTAGGTTTTAGGCCTTTCATGTCTGTTCATGCAACATTTTCAGAGCCTGCCAGCTGCAAGGATATTCTTCCTACCCACAACAGATGGCTTGGTACTCCCTGACTCTATGTGTTTCAGTGGGTTCCAACTTTCATAAATATTGAACTTTTCTTCTTTTAGTTCCCTAAAGATAAATGTATAAAATTCAAACAAGGTCAGATTACACCTGCCATAGGAATTTGAAGTTTTATATAGATGGCACAGAGATAGTAGCAATGATTTTAAATCAAACCTCTGCACAGATACTAATTGAAAGCTGTTACGTTTTGGTTTATGTTTTGTTTGGTTTTGTTATGGTTTGTTTTAACTGGTTTTTAAAACCATTAGTCTGTTCAACTACGTTTTCAGCTAAAATAAAAACCATGAGTAGAGACAGAGCTAAACAATCATGTTGGGTTTGAGTAAATGATTACATAAATCAAAGGATTTACATCTGCTGAGCGATCTTTGCTCTTGTGCTTATGTGTGTGTATTATCCTGAGGGCAGGAACTCTTCCTTTTAATACTCTGCACAGAGTATGCTCTGCTCAGTTGTCACCGTACAATATAATTTGTTTTTAAGCAGGAACCAACATAAAACTGATTACAGAGTTTGTTGAGTCACCAGCAGTGGGAAAACTTGAATAGCTGCCATAAGAACATAAATATTTCTTAGGTGGTTAGAACCAGCATTCAGAAAAAGAAAGTACAGCTTAGCCATTCTCCAAGTAGAAAAACAAAATACCCAAATACATTTAAATCTCCTGTGCAATTCAGTTCACTATCTGAGTACACAGCCTCTTGTAAAGCTGAATAGATACAAGTGTTCAAGCCTTCTGTTGACTGACCAAAATAACTTGGATTAATATGGCTACCACACAATTCAGACCTGGAAGATACAATGGTGACTGAGTTCCCAAAACGAGTTAATGGGAAAAAACAGGTGACTGAGCTTTTTGCTTCCTCTGTAACAAACACTTGAAGTTGGTTTTGCTGGCTTTGGGTGTCTGCATAAGTTAAATTTTCCCCTCCCTACCAGTTCTTTGCAAGATAAGGGTAACCTTTTTCATTGTTTATAAACAAGAATATCTTTCAGGTCTTTGCAACATTCTGATGTGGTGTATACTACCAACCGAACAGAAATCCTAGAAACTACTGCTACAGCAAGACTGTTGCCTAGTTAACTAATTTGATTCTACCCAAGAGTTTGCTGTATTTTTATTCCACAGTATTTGTCTCTTATCTGCTACTTGATGAGAACAGCTGTTATTATTTTAAAGATACTGTTTCACATCTTACATACTTTAAATAAAGCTTGTGCTTATGAAAAGGGTTTGGTAGTTACTCAAATTTGTACGCTAGTATCATTTTAAATCAACATTTATTTAAAAGCAACCTTATTTTCCACAGCAAGGTACACACAACAGGATGTGCTCAAGTGCTATATGCAAGCAAGAAATTAAGTTAGAAGGACGTTGCATAGATAAAGTTTCCTAATTATACACCATCATGAAAATTGTCAGCTGTGGAATGAGAACTTGCAGGGAAACAGAGTGAGGTTTTCTGTTGATTTTTTCTATATTTTTTTTCTTTAAAATTCTGTGCTATTTTAATTTTTCTGATTTATAAGCAAGTTTTCCACTTCTAAACCAGCAATTTACATTAATCATTATATGGAACTTCTGTTTGGTAGCTTATGCAATGTATAGGAGGTGTTGCTTGCTTCAAACAGTAGAGACTTCCACACTCCCAGATAATCACAGATTGGGAATGAGATGAAAAATACCTAGGCTAATCAGTCTCATGACACCGCTTTCATCCACATAAGCTTATATTCTTGTACACTCCCCAACACCACATGCCTGCCTTCAGGTGCTTGCCCTCCTATTGTAGCACTCCTTGGACACAGGAGAGGTGAATGTGAGTGTGTAGAGATAAAGAGAATAATGGAAAACATGGAGAATAATATTAAATAATTTTGTGAGAATATTTCAACAAGCTCACATCTCTAGTGCGATATTAAATGTGTTCATCAAATTCTCTCTTTTCTTGCTTTCTTGTAAATAAGCCTTCTAACAGCTTTGGAAAGCAGGAGAATGTTTATTGCAGCTAAAATATTGGGTCAAGTTAGCTAAAAAGTTATAAAGAGAATCATGCTTACAAAAGGAAGAAAACAGGTTTTGGAAAGTAGGGTTAAACTTGGCAGTTGGACAAGTATAAGGGACATAGTTTGTCTGAGTACAGCGTGTCCTGGTTTTGGCTGGGATAGAGTTAATTTCTTCCTAGTAGCTGGTGTTTTGGCTTTAGTCTGAGAACAGTGCTGATAACACACAGATTTTTCAGTTGTTGTGAAGTAACGCTAACCCTGATCAAGGACATTTCAGTCTCATGCTCTGCCATTGAGGAGGGGCACAAGAAGCTGAGGCGAAGCAGAGGCAGGACACCTGACCCAAACTAGCCAAAAGGGTATTCCATACCACAGCATGTCATGCCCAATATATAAACTAGGGGGAGTTACCCAGAAGGCACCAGGCTGGGTATCAGTCAGTGGGTGGTGAGCAAGCAACTGTGTGGTACTTAGTTGCCAGCTGGGTTTAAACCACAACACAGGGACAATTAATTACTTAGCTGAGTGTCTTTGATGGAAAGTGGAACTGTAATAAGATTTAGAGAGGAGCTAGCTCAAAAGAGGCTGAATCAAAGCTCTTCCCATCCACAGATACAAAGTAATTTTCTCTCAAAGTATTTGGAGCAGTAATATTAGCCACAGGTAAAGATACACACACTTGGATTCACCAATCCAAAAAGAGATGAAAGCAAGTCTCAAAATGGGGACCCAATACTAACTTCTAAACTTTCCAATCATCAAGACTGAAATTATCACCCAATATCTCCCAAACAATCAAAGGTCACTCAGGTAGATAAACATGAATCTTGATGACCAATTACTTGCTCCTCCATGATTTCAAAAGTTGTTTTCTGGAATATCATCTTTTTTTTCTAGAATTCTGGGTTATCATAATTACGATCACCTAAAAATCTGGACACAAGTGCTCAGAAAACATGCAGCAGAATACAAGTAAACTATCAAGAAATTAATAAATAAACAATAGAGAATTACATAATTTGTAAAAGCCCATGGTTCCTTCAAAGGACATGAGGATTCTTACCGCTGTCATTCCCATTGTGGTCAGAGTATGGTGGTCCCATGCTAGAGAGGCCATTTCTTCTTATCCATCCAGGCTGTAAGTTCAATTCAGGAAGAGCTTTGCATAGATCAGTTTCAAAGTCACACTTATAGGAGGAACCTGAATGGAAACAATACAAGCAAACAATCAAAACCCCAAAAACAGAAGCAAAGGGGTATGTTCTCACCATCACTTGCTATTTAATTAGCAGGCAGAAGCACTCCAAACAGCTTCCTAAAAAAGTGTAACAGCAGAAATTTTAAATCACGAAAAAGAGAAATAGGGCAGCAGAAGAGTGGCAAGAGAATGAATAATGAAAAACAAACAAACAAACAAAAAAACATCCACCAAAAAACACCAAAACCAAACCACCCACCCCCAGAACAAAACACCAAGTGCCCCCAGCCCAAGCCAAACCAAACACAAACCAGTCTGTTTGTATTATATCCCCATAACATACACTTTTTTTTTTTACAAATACATATATAGCTACCTACTTGAACGAAATTCGCTAAGCTAGCATAGCTTATATGCAGAGACTGTTCTTAAAATATACTGCCGGTATTGGCTAAATAATTTCAGTATGTCCTCTGTTTACCCAGGGTTCTTGCACAGAAAAATAAAGACTTGACACCAGGAAATAACTAGCAAAAACAACTGAATAAAAGAACAGAAATTTCTGCTAATTCCAGTACTGTTTATTTCACCATCTTGCAACATGCATTTTTAGGAACATGGAATATAAGCCCAATTCCAGTCACCCCCCCACCAAGGGCCTCATAAGAGAAAGGCTAGGCTTTCATCAGCTGACATACACCAATGTTTACCAGTGCTCATTGTCTTTACAAAGCTGCTGCATTAAAGCAGAAACCACATTGTTCAGAGTGGAGCTGAAACAAGTCCTCAGAATGACATAGGCTCGCCCTTTGCTTTTCCTCTGACTTTATTTCTGCCAGTGCACATAACATAGTGGGGAAGAACTGCTTCTCTCCCTTGCACATTTCCCTGTAGGGCAGCATATGTTAGAAAAAAGAGGCAGAACATGTTTTTCTGGCACAGGATCCAGTTTGTTGTACTTCTTCATGCAGGGAATTTGAGGCAGGTATGGAACCTGATAAAGAATTGCTTACTGGGAGAGAGAGAGATGTTTGTTTCTGCTCTGGTGTCAGACAGCCCTTTTTGCATCACATCCAAGCCGAATGAAAGACCTTACATGTGCCTAAGAGGCTAGACCGCCCCATTCCTTGAACGTCTAAGCAGAAACAACTTCATCCAAGAATAGCTAGTATGTGGGATTGTCTCCACATTTCACATGTTGCGTGGAAACTTTTGGTTCACCTGCATTTTCTCTTACACAGCAGAGGAGGATGGGTTAAGACTGCTTTTTAATCTGGATTCTGAATGAGACATGACATGAGAGCTACAATACCTTCATGCTCCTCTCAAATTGGTGCTCACTCTGGGCCCCTGCTAATGCTTTTTACCTATTCTATATTATCACAGTTCACTAATCATTTTAAATAAAGTTGCTACTGCAGCATTTATAGTCACAGTATATGATGTTCAATTTCATGGCTTTCATATTCACATCAACTTACTGGAACAATTTACTATAAGGTGAGAGAGGAAAAAGCAGATATAATTCACATAACCATTCCAGCCTCAAGTTAATGTGCAGATAGGCTGGTTCATCAATCAACTATTTATTGCTGGTTTTATTTCTTAGCTTTTTAAGTGGCTGAAAAGCATGTAATTTTTTCATCAAAAGCAAACACGCAGCTGAGGTGTATCTGCTTCACATAACATGAAATGCACTAGATCAGGTTCAAAATTTCCTCAGCAATTTTCTCATAGCTGGAAAACATTAAAATCAGTATTTACAAATAGCAAAAACAATACCTTTTCAAATTAAAAACAAAACAAAACAAAAAACAACCAAACCTGAACTTCTTGATCATTCATTACTTTCCAAGGCAACATTCATTTTCACAGAAAACATAACTTGAAAGCAAACCACTGTAAATTTGCTGGAAGATAGATTTACAAAGACAAAGTCACTGCTTAGAGAACAAGAGGCCAGAAGGAAGAAATGTGTGGGATGTTCTAGATATTTTTTGCAGAACTTCCTGTGAAGAAAACAAAGATGTAAAATAACCACTATGGAAAAATTCCAAGTCTCTCAGAAACAGACTACAGTTTAAGGTTCTATTTCAAGTGCATATGCATATAAAATCTCACCTTGGGATATTCTAAGAGCAAAATATTTTTAAGAGTACTTAGTTATCATTCGTCCCTGGTGAATATTTTGCAATGGTACTTCAGCTATAACAGTTACTGTAGGGCTTATTTTTCTTTTCTAATGTTTTGGCAAAGCACAAGCCAACCACATCTGAAGTCCAAAATGACAATAAAAACACACCCTTTGAAATTTCAACTTGATATATTCTCAGTGCAGAAACTTTCTTAAACCAGAGTAGTGCTCAGAGAAAACAACAGGGACCTGTCATGAACATGAGATTGGAGAGCTGAAACCCAAGTAGAAAAATAGTTTTGCAATAATCCCAGATCAGAAGAGTGGGTGGTAGCAGGATGAATCTTCAATTTGACACCCTGATCTGTATCTTTACGTCTGACAGACAGCTTATCTCCTGGTGTAACCCAGAGCATTACCCAAGCAGTCCCAGCATCCACAGCCTGTCACTCAGAGCCTAGCTGCATACCTCATGTTTATCCATACTTCAAATAAAACATTATTTGGTATTTAGGTCTTTCACAGAGCTCATAGGCTTATTTCTCTAAACTAGTCTTTGAAGCAAGATTTAATTTTCATACTTCTATAAAAGCATTTATCTACAGCAGTATTCTCTCAATAAACAAGTGTAAAAAGACTCCACAAAAATTAATGAAAGAATGTATCTCTTGCTGCATATTCTGCAATCATGACAGAAAGTGCTGCCTGGAGAAATGCTCTTTCTAGCAAAATCAAAACCAATCACAATGAGGATTTCAAGGCTATGCAGTGAAACAGCATAACCATCTCTTGTGGAATTAATAAAAATACACTTTAATCTGAGACATATTAGTCACACATCAAGGCATTCAACAGGTGTAATTTCCAGCCATTGGCATTTAATACATTTAAGTACAGCACAAGAAAGTTATAAGGTGTACTGATATCCAATACAGTTTTTTAAATTTATTTTTGTCCCTTTGCAAATAGGACAAGTATCCTAGAGTTGACTCTAGACTCCTGTTCCAAACATGTCTGCATCATATTTGGATAAAACAGAGAATCAGATGAAAAATACATGTACCTGGGCACGCAACTGTAATTTGAGGAACCTGGATTTGAGTTATTGCTCTTCCTCACAGATTTCAGCTGAATTCAGCGATCACTAACATGCTCTAATTAGCATTTTTCAGTGTGCACAAATGCACTCAGGCTCACCTAAAGACAACCTTCTTTAAATTTAAAGCCAAACCTTAAAGCCACCCCCAAATATAGTAGCTTCTTCTGTCGCACGGTGAGTGGAACAACTTAGACAAGTTTTTAGTTAAAATTAGAATTTTTGAGAACTCTCTTCACTCCAGAACAAAGATCTTCAAAGAGCAGGACTATTTTATGCATTGTAAAAAATAATTTTCAGCATCATTTTATGTTACAGTATTCTGGAAAAAGTAGATTTCTGATGCAAATTTACTCAGACACTAGCAGTTAAAATTCACTCTCATTGCTGAGACCTTTCCTTTAAGGGAAACATCAACAACTGTATTCATAGCTTCTGAATGTGACAAAGTTCAAACTGGGATTATCAGTTCAGGAATTGAAGAATTTTTTCCCCTCCAATCTAGACTGAAAAAAAAATTTTTTGCTGTTGTTGCTTATACTTCGATCTACGCACTGTGGATGAAGCCTGAGTTTCAGCAAAAAATTTTACCACAAATTAAGGAAAAAAAGGTAATACTCATTAAATCTCCATTGAACTTATGTGGACAAGTATGAGGAAACACTTTACTATGCCCCATCCATATGAAGATTTATAAAACTGTTGCTCTGTATAGAGATTCAAATTAAGGGGGGGGGGGGGGGAGAAAAAAAAACAGAGAGATTTTTTTAGGAATGAATGTGCTTAAAAAAAAAAAAAAAAAAAACAAAAAAAACCACCAAGCAAATGACAAGGCGGGAAGGATAAAAAAGAAAAAAAGAAAAAAAAAGAGAAAGAATCTACAAACACTTTTGTAACATTAAAAAATTAAATCCATTGCTAGTTCTCATATCTCACTTATAACGAAGCCCACTGAGACTTACCTGGTTTCTCATCACTGCTGTCTCCACACTGGTTGTTGAAAACACACAGTTCCACAGATGGAGCAGAGGAGCCATTATCACGCTGGCATTCACTTCCAGTAGATGACTGAGTATCTGTCAGAGCAAAGCAATATAATGCATAGAAAAATACGAATCTGTTCATGAGCTATGTTACTATCCAAGCCTTCACTTGGAAAAGAATTACTTTAACAGTCTAGTATTGATCATGAAGAGTCTTTTAAAAAGCTGTGTTTATACACATCTCTCTGAAAGACAGTTTTAGAACCTCACTTTCCAAATCTGCAGCTTATGCGAAATACGGCTTACACAAAGCAGTGACTTTCAAGCCAGTGTGTTCTTGGATAATATTTAACTGACTTATAACATTGTTTTATGACTAAAATTTTTGGTGTATGCTATGCAAGTCAACTGTATATCATTAACTTACCGATGGGATTTATTGCCTGATCGTCTGCAAATAGATAAGAAAACAACAGGAAACTAGAGCAGAATTACAAAGTGACCAACGCTCATAAAGATATCTCTTTTCTCATAGGGATTTAGCAAATGCTTACAAAACTTTGAAAAGTTTGCACATCAAATGAAGAAAACAGCTGAGAAATTCAAAGTTGTTTTTTTATCAAAGGGATTGTAAGTGACTGATCTAGGGAGTTTGAATTTTCAGAGCCTGTAGCCATATGATGCTGATAATTGAAAGTGGTATCTATTTACTTGGCCTACAACTATAAATAACGACTGAATTAGAGTACCCAGTTGTTAATGAAATAATATCTGCAACCACAATTTACATAGATACATGAAAGGACTGGCTATTAATGATTACTTTTCAAATTACTAGACTCCTTTATTTCCTGGGGGAAAAAAAAAAAACAAACCAAAAATAAAACCAAAGAAACCCACAACATATTGTGTGATACTACTAGGGTTTCCCAAGCTCAGGAAAGCTTGGAGTCAGGGGGTGGGAAGAGAGATACCTAGATACCTAGGTATCTGAATTCTTATGAACAGTGATCAGTAAGAGCACATAAACAAGCACAGTTGAAATAATGATTTTCCATACATTCCAAGAACCCATCATTAGCGGAAAACTTCCATCAATACCAACCCAAATATATTACCCTGCCAACACAGTCAGTCTCTGTCCAGGTTTATTTATAAATCCTACCCACCAATCCCCCCTTAATTTGTATAATAATGACTAGTTCTGAAATAATACATCTAGGTGTGTAGTAAGGTGCGCAGTAGTTTCTTATTATTATTAAACTGGCAAGAAGATTTTCATTGTGCTAATAGATTTATAGTGCATGATATGGTAAGACAATCAGGGCTCACCCAGTAGAGGTGGGCACTACTAAAACATCCTCTTACAAAAAAAACCCTCCATCAGTACAAGAGACAGAAGTCAGCACACTGATTTGTAATCCCTTTGATAAAAAAATCAATTTAGAATTTCTCAACTGTGTTTCACTGAAACACACCAGTTCTGACAAAGCTTTTACGTGGATGAATTGAGTATCTCTAAATTGAGGAGGAGGAGTGGGGAAGAGATACCTAGCCAGTCAAAAATGTCAGCCTTGTGAGAGATTGGATCAGTTTGCTTCATTCAGTCTAGCAACACAAGAAAACAGCAAAATGATATTAATGAAGTACCTTAATAGTTCCAAAACCCAGGGGAAGAAGTCATAGTAGAAAAAGGAACAGATGATTGAGAAAGTTAAAGAGCTGTGTTAGCCCAAAGGAAATGACTGCAAAAACCAGACAAAAATAGGCTGACAATAATGTAAGCCTGGCACTCCTTTAATGGTAATAATGGGATGAAAAAAAGTCTAACTACTTTTGTGACAAAGTTGCATTACTTTACTAAAAGGATCATATAGTTGCCCAAGTGGCAGCTTCTAATATGTAACTGATGCCAGCAGCTCCAGAGATTTCTTCACCTGCAAGTTCCCAAGATCAGATATCTGTAATACACAAAGCATTGCATCTACCTCCAATTTGCCCATTAGCCCCAGTGAGCAGAATTAAGACAAGGTGCTGACAAGGACCCACAGTGCTGTAGTATCCACAAACAGACAACCTATGCCTGGAAGCATATCCACCATTGCAGTTCCATATTTTATAAGGTAAGAAACCTCTTGTCAGGGTACAGAGACTGCTACTCCAACATTGCCTAAGGCTTGCAGTCCAAGGTCTGATGCAACTTCCTATTATCTCCAGCACCAGAGGCAGATAAACGTTTATTGTATGAAGGTTTCACTTCTGCCTAGAAAGCTTTTTCCAGCTCATTTGATTCAACTCCATCCTTTTCACCACCATCGTGCTATGGTCGTCATTTTAACACGTTATCCTTAGGCCATAGACCTGATTGAAAAACTTCCTGAAGAAAAGCAGAGCTGCTAATAAATTAATTAAGAGTTCATTGATATATATATATATATGTATATCTCAGAGTTCATCAAGAATGCATACCGCTGAATTGTTTACTTCCCTTCTGTAAGTGTAGCTTAGATTAGAAGTTTATACAAAAAAACCCTACTATTCCATATAACATTATATTACTACATTTGTAAAGGCTTAACTATTTCGTGCTATTCAGCTGCTTTGTTTTCCAATCTATTTTCTCCAACATACAATATTTCTTCTTATTCTTTTTCCCTAAATCTTCTAAAACTCCTTCTCACACTGTTGTACTTCACAATGACAGCATTTCCCAGTCTTTCAGCTTTCTCCCATTTCATTAAAACCACTGCTGCAACATTCTAAGTTGTTTTCCTGCTCTGCCTATAGTATAAATTTGTATGCAAGCTCTGTAAGAGGGTAATTTTTAACAGAAACTGGCACCCATTTCTATTATGCTCTAAAACATTAATAAGGAAAAATTGCATAACCAAAAAAAAAAAAAAATCAGGATCACCACAAGATCTGTTATGAGTGGAAATAGATGAAAAATTCTTCAAATACTCAAAAAGCATTTAGGGTGTTATCCAAAGATTTTTAGCAAGGGGGGGGGGGGGGAAAACAAAACAAAAAAAAA